CAAAAGCAAGCATCGATTGGTACTCGCCTCGGCTCCCTCTCCCTCCTTGTATTCTTCGCTTTGCCTTCTTCTCTTAATCACACACTCTTCCATTTTCTTCTTCACCATTCTCTTCTATCTCTTCTTCACCACTCTCATTTGTTTCTTCTTCCTCATCGAGAGACAAAAAAAAACTGAACGGAGGAGGCCAAACCTCAGTCTGTTCTCTTCTATTTCTCTGCAACTCATTTCTTTTACACCTCTCACCTCTAAATCATGGCTTCCTCATCCCATCCCCTCACTCTATTTCCGGACCTGAACGATCCCATAAGCTCTGTTGGACCGAGCGCCCCTACTCCTACTCTTCCTGGCATTCCTCTTCTTAGCCTTCCTATGATGTCGATTGAGCAAATCATAGCAATTCAATCTGACATAGAAGCCAATCATTTCACACTGACGTCCTGTATGGAGACGGTGATGGCAGTCACAAAATTGGCTCACCGATTGCAGAACAGGACAAGTGAGCTCCATCAAGTCAACACCCAACTCTCTCTACTCCAGCGCATGTACAAGGATGCGCAAGCAGAAATAGGCACATTGAAGGCCGAAAATAAAGAGCTTAAATGGAAGACCACCTCCATGGCCCCATTTGGAGCAACGTCGTTCTTGGTCTTTGATAGTCAATGGGGAGTCGTCGCTCTCGACGAAAGCACGGGGGCAGGGGCGTCAAGGGTCACCCAAGGTGATAAAAAGAAGAAGAAAATGATGGAAGAGGCGAGTAAGTAAGATCTGCATATGGCCGGAAAAAAAATGAAGGGTTTTTTTTATGTTTATTTTGATCAGCGTGTGGCCGTAAAAAAAATGAATGGTGCTTTTTTTTTTTGGTTTTTTTATGTAAATATTTGTATTTTGATTTGTTGCTGTGTTTATGTTTAAGTACTAAAAAATGAAATTAAAAAGCAGAGAAAAAAATAAGAAAATTAAGCTCAAACAAAAAATAATAATGAGTGATCAAATTGTTAATGAGTATATGAGAAGCATTTGAGCATAATCTAATTCTCAATTTCATAGTAAGAGCATACCAATCTCAAGACTATAATAGACATACAATAGACATAATAGTGCATAGATCAAACAAAGTTGCCAAGCAAGAGCATAAATATGGAGCTAAAGTTCAAATCACTCTTCCTTGAGGAAAACGATATTCCTTTTACATTATCAACAACTAATCAGCTCAAAGGTCATGTTGTAAAAATTAAGATACCAAAAGTATAGAGATACCAAAATAATCAGAGATACTAAAACAATCAAGTCTCTTTTTCTCCCCCGATGACATTTTCAACAAAATCAAGCACAAGGAAGGAGTATGGTACAACATATAGGATGAAAGAATGTAAGTCTCATTATAGCACAAATAATCATCCATATCAAGGTAGCTCTATGACACCAAAAAAATAATAGCACATAATGATCATACAATTAAAGCTCATACCATTTGACAATAATAGGCAAAAAAAAATAGTAACATGCGAAGTGCAAGCCCATAAGTTTGATATCAAAAATAGAATAGAAACTGAGGGGATTTTTTAAAAAATAATCAAGTTTAAATTCTTCCCCTTGTTTCATTTGGCAAAATCAATAGGAGATATAATAAATAAAAGCTCATAACTGAAATGTTCTCGTCAATAATATCAAATAGGATGCCAAAATGATACCAACATGCAATCTACCAAGGATACTAATATGCAATCTAGAAGATTTAAAAATCATTGCTCAAGCATTATATAGAATACCAAATGTTGCTCATAATAGGTTAAACTCAATATAATCTCATGGAGCTAATGTAATTCCAAAAAAAAAAATGAAGCATGTTCAAGGTATAGCAATTCATATGTCAAGAAAAATCATGAATTTCAATATGTACCACACATTTAAGCATAGGCATGATTTTTAGGTAAGAGCATCATCAAAGAGTATACATTGCAAATCATATGAAGCATAATCAATCTTTCTCATATTAAAGTAATAACAATATTAGCTCAAGGAATATAAGATAGAATTTTTACCTCAAAAGCTTAAGAGAGTGTATGAGGCATATCTTAGGTTCAAGAGATGGAAGCTTTTCAATCTTCAATTTTCTTTCATGGAGAGTTCATCTCAAAAGGGTTTAACAAGTATGTTAGCAAAATGATTTCTCCCTCTAAGTTAGTGCTACCCTTTTCTATTTTGTGTAAATATAGCATTCATAGAACAATCACTATTACTCAATAAAAATACAACACAAATCACTTCTTATCACAAACTAAAAAGGTGAAAAATAATTCAATGATCAAACAAGAGTTTGGAATGCTATTTTTCAAAATTTTCAAGTTGTAACGCATAGCATAATATGCATAAGAAAATAGTTTTATGCTCTTTGTTTTATTAAGAAATGATGCAACAATCTGATTTAATCACATAACATTATCAAGAGGCATTTTCATCAATTCAATCCACATGTTCAAGTGTGATAAAACATTTTACTCAATATGGAACACAACATGAATGTTATAAACAATTAATTCAACAATTTATCAATCAAAAGCATTTCATGAGATGTATGCCAATATAATCCATATTCAAAAGATATTCAATAGGATAAATGACATGTTTCTACAAACATATGGTGCTTCTTTTCATTTAGACATTGTTGATGGATCATAATCAAGGAATTTTAGAACTCATTCAAATATTCCAATGTAAAACATATAAGCATGAAATTTACATATTGAGCATATTCTTGAGATCACAAATGTAGAATTCAAAATATAGATAGTATAATCTCAAAAACATGCTATGACATCAAAATTGATTCTACAAAGATATGACTCAAAAAGGAATTAACATATTAGTATGAAGTCATTTATAAGATGTGAAAAGTATGCTCACAAAAAAATTTATCACTTCTTATCTCTTTTTCATAGCAATGGATGACATGATATAAAATGTTAATAAGTACATCAATCATTCATATTCTAATAGGCATTCATCAAAATAATATAATTCTCATTTTTGAGTTCAATGAATGTTTGAAAGAAACTAGCAGAACATGACTTAGCAAACTTAATACAATTAGGTTACATGGAAGCAATGATTAGACACAACCTATTGTACACAAATCACACCTTAAAAAATAAAAAACTTTAACCTTAAAGGTGTGTTAGGAGTTATACCTTCATTTACCTCTTTGGAATCTTCACCCATACATTACCTCTATTGTTCATCTTGGTAATTTTCATTTCATCATTCTTCTTCTTGTAGGAGCGAATTTTGCTCTTTAGACTGAACACTCTTGTTGTGCATTTCCTCTTGAAGTCCTTGGTGTTCTTTGAGATTCCACCTACAAAATATCTTGATTTCTTTCTTGGTACCCATACTTTCTTGGGTCTATGGGGATTAGTCTCAAGAACATTTAATCTCATAAAAGGTTTAGGAAGATCAAAACCAATGCCTACTTTGTCAAAAACACATCTTTTATTTCCAAGAAACTTGTTGAGGTTTTCTTTTCCTTCTACAAAATTTTCAAGAGTTTTGTTTAAATCCTCAACATTGTTTTTCAAAATGTTTTTCTCGTTGGCAATAGACGTAAATTCATTTTTCAAAGTAGCATTTTCTATTTTTAAAACACTCACATCATTTGAAAGAGAAGTAACTAATTTCTTTAATTTAGAATTCTTAGCACAAACGTTTCTAAATATGTCATGTAATTTATTGAAATCACTTTCAAGTTCTACATAATTAGAAATTACCTCATCTTGAGTGGATTCTTCTTCTCCAAGAGCCATGAGACACAGGTTGGCTACTCCATCATTTTCTCCCCGAATGGCTTCCTTTTTGCTGCCATCCATCATTGAAAGTTCATGAGCCATGAGTGAGCCTAGGAGTTCTTCAATGCCTAATTTTGTTAGGTCTTTTGCTTCTTGGATAGCTGTAACCTTAGCTTCCCATTCGTTTGGCAAAGACCTAAGTATTTTTCTTACAAGATCACCATTAGTATAAGATTTACCAAGAGATTTTAGAGCATTAATAATATTGGTAAATTTATAAAACATCTCAGAAATAGATTCAAATGATTCCATAGTAAAGAATTCATAATCATGAATAAGCATGTCAATCTGAGACTCTTTTATTTGGTTAGTTCCTTCATAGGTGATTTCAAGTTTATCCCAAATCTCCTTAGTAGTAATACACCCAGAAATTCTATGGTACTCATTTGCATCTAGTCCACACACAAGAATAAGCTTGGCTTTAGCATTAGCTTGAAGGAGTTTATAATCACGCTCATCAAATTCATCATCAAGTTTAGGCAGACTGATATGGTCTACTACCTTGGAAGGGATTTTAGGACCTTTAGTGATAATGAGCCACAAAACAGAATTGGTAGCTTGAAGATACAAAGTCATTTTTTCTTTCCAATGAATGTAATTACTGCCATCAAAGAGAGATGGCCTATTGCTAGCTTGTCCTACAGCAGAGTAAGTAGAATACATGGTTGATATGGATCAAAAACTCAAGATTATTAAATCTAAACAAGAGCCCCAAGCTCTGATACCAATTGTTACCCAAAAAGCAACCTAAGAGGGGGGTGAATTAGGTTTCTACAAATTAAAATTAATAATACCCCAATAAAATTAACTACTAGTACAACAAATTATTAACAAGCACAATGATGACCTTAGCAATAAAGGATCAAGAAAAATAACAATGAAGTATAACTAACATACATGGTAAATCAAATGATTAGCACATGAATATTAAATAGATATAGCAGTAGTTGATCAGAAGATGGAACAAACAAAGGATATACAATGCTAGCTCGAACCTTTTCCCGGATGAAATGAATATCGACCTCAATATGCTTAGTACGCTCATGAAGCATAGAGTCAGAGGCAAGTAAGACTTATTGTCACAAAATAGCTTAGAGGAATTATTCTCCACAAAGCCTAACTTACTAAGAATGGACCGAAGCCATAATAACTTACATGTCCCATGAGTCGTGGCGCGGTATTTAGCTTCAGCAGATGAGTGAGAAACAACCGCTTGTTTTTTGCTTTTCCATGACAGAAGATGGGTACCAAGGAAAGTGCATACCCCAGAAGTAGAACGTCTGTCAGTTAATGAACCTGCATAGTCTACATCAGTAAAACAAGACAATCCTGTCTGAATCCCACCATTGAAGAATAAACCCAAACTTGGACATGACTTGAGATATCTCAAGATATGGTGAACAGCATCAAGGTGAGCAGTACGAGGTGAATGCATAAACTGACTAACCATACTCATAGCAAATGTCAAATCTGGTTGTGTATTAGTCAAATAGATCAAATGTCCTACCAATCTCTGGTAGTGAGTTGGATCAGAAAGCAACTCCCCAGACTCACCTAAAAGTTGCAGATTCGAATCCATAGGAGTAGATGTAGGCTTGCACCCCATCATATCGGTGTCCCGAAGAAGATCCAAACTATACTTTCGTTAGGACAATGATATCTCTTGCAAGAACGAGCTACTTTAATCCCCAATAAATATTTGAGAGAACCCAAGTCCTTGATGTCAAAAACTAGACTAAGCTCCTGTTTTACCTTAGCAATACCAATGGTGTCATCCCCTGTAAGGATGATATCATCCACATAGACGAACAAAATAATACATCGACCATTGAGCTGATGACGAATGAAGCATGTATGGTCGGAGTGACATTGAATAAAATCCATGGATAGGATAACAGAGCTGAAACGATGGAACCATGCACGAGGAGATTGCTTCAGGCCATAGAGAGACTTACGCAGACGACAGACCCTGCCAGCATACTCCCTCTCAGCCCAAAACCCAGGTGGAGGATCCATGTAGATCATCTCAAGTAAGTCCCCATGTAAAAAGCATTCTTGACATCAAGTTGATGAAGGGGCCAAGAAGAAGAGGCAGCCAAGGAAATAAGTAAACGAACAATGGTCAATTTTAGCAACCGGTGCTAACGTAGCCCCAAAATCCTTGCTAGAAACTTGTGTAAAGCCCTTAATAACAAAGCGAGCCTTATATCGGCCCACTATACCATCAGCCAAGTATTTGACAGTAAAAACCCACTTGCACCCAACAGTCGTCTCACCAGAAGGTAAAGAGAGAAGATCCCAAGTGTGATTATGCTCCAAAGCAGCCATTTCAGTTTGTAGAGCTGTAACCCATTGGGGATTCTGGAGAGCCTTAGACACAGATCGAGGGATAGAGACCGACTCAAGTTTGCCAAGAAAAGACCGATGAGAAGCTGAAAGGGCATCATAACATAAAAATTAGGAAATAGGGTGATTAGTACTACTAAACCAACCAAACCGATTAGGCGGATGGTGTTCATGGGTTGGATAATGGGAATGAGCGGGGGAATGAATAGTAGAGGGAATACCTGGGCCTGAGGGAGAAGAAGATGCTGGAGGAGGCAGAGCACGAGGGCGACGAGAGTATGTCTGTAATGGCAGAGGACTAGCAGATGCAGATACAGGCGATGAGGAAAGAGCAAAGGAATGAAAGATAGGAACATGGCGAGCACTCGGAGACACAATGAGAGGCGGTGCACGCGAGGCGGAATCCTGAACCACAGGGTTAGAATAAAAAAATGACATATCTTCGCAAAATATGACATCCATAGAATGATAAAAATGACGAGATAATGGATCATAGCGCCTATAGCCTTTAGAGAGAGCGGAATAGCCTAAGAAGTTGCACTTAAGAGACTTGTTATCTAACTTGGTCCGAGTAGGACTACGATCCTGAACAAAACAAGTACAACCAAACACACGAGGCAAAAGAGGAAATAACACGGTATTTGTGTGAAGTAATTGAAAAGGTGCCAACCCGTGAAGAATCCGACTAGACATCCGATTAATGAGGTAAACAACGGTAAGCACAGCCATATGCCAGTAGGATTTAGGGACATTCATCCGACAAAGAAGACACCGGACAACATACATAATATGACGATTTTTACGTTCAGCAATCCCATTTTGTATAGGGGTGTAAGGACAAGTGAGTTGTTGCAAAATTCCTTGTTGACTAAGTTGGGAGTGAAATGCATCAGAGATGTACTCCCCCCCCCCAATTATCAGAACGAATATTACGTACAACGGTGTGGGGACAACAGTGTGGAATTGGGCTTTGACCCTTTGGAGAAATTGAATAAAAAGTGGAAGCACAACAAACTTCTTTTTAAGCAAATAAACCCAAGTGCACCGAGAATGGTCATCTATGAAAGTTACATAATAGCAATGCCCAGAAAAAGCCAAAAGAGGAGAAGAACCCCAGATATCAGAGTGAATAAGGTCAAACATACAGGAGGCATCTACATACGAGGAATATAAGAAGTACGAGTATGTTTAGACAGTTCACAAACAACACAATGAAACTGATGATCCTTGCAAGCTTTATTAAGTGACAGAAAAAGTAAACATAGATAATTAAAGTTTGCATGTCCTAAACGGGCATGCCGCAAGGCTGAAGTTTGAAAAGAAAACACATAGGAAGACGACTCAGGTAACACAGTTGCTTGCAGGCCAGAAGTGGTAGGATGAGAAGGTGGTGGGTCCCCAAAGTAGTATAGCCCATCGCGCTCAAACCCTCTATCAAAAATCTTCTTCGAAGTCAAGTCGTGTAATAAGCAATGAGTAAGTAAGAAAATAAAAGCACAATGAAGATTTTTAGCAAGATGACTCACAGAGAGACAATTATAAGCAAAATGGGGCACATGAAAGACAGAAGTAAGTGTAATATCAGATGATAAGGACATATCACCCTTATATTGGACATGTGAAATAAACTCATCAGCAAGACATATGGTCTGAGCAATAGTAGAGACATGAGAGTATAAACAAGAAAACTCACTGGCCATATGATCATTGGCCCTAGAATACAATACCGAAGTAGGTGCAGTGCGAACATGAAAGGCTGTAGAAGTACCTGTAGCGAGTGTGGCAGTGGAAGGAACACTTGGAGACATAGTAGTGAATGAACCAAGTTGCTCTTGAAGGCGACCAATCTGAGATTGAAGCTGATGAAGATCAATAGGATGAGGTGACTGAGGAGTACTAGAGGTGTCTGCAATAACAGCGGTATGAGGAGAGCCTGAAGGGCGTGTCTTTGCAAAGCGTTGCTTCAACTCAGGATGAAGCTTGAAGCACCGTGCTTGGACACGACCAGTTGCACCACAATGGTGGCAAATAACCTTGCTACTAGAAGCATGAGGACTAAACTTGGCAGTAACGGCCATCTGATTTGAAACGAAAGATGAGGCAGGACAGAGGAAGGAAGTGGAGCCACTGGTTGAATCAATTGACCACGACACTCCTCACTGTTAATAGTAACAAAAGCCTCATATAAGGATGGTATAGGAGATGTGCTCAAAATTTGAATATGAAGAGACTCGAATTCAGGTTTTAAACCCATCAGAAATTGATAGGTGTGCTGGCGAGCAAGACGAGCAGACACGATAGAAGCAGCAACAGCTAGAAAATCACTCAATGGCTCATACTGTGCTAACTCTTCCCAGTGAGACTAAAGATACCCAAAATATTCAGCAACGGTAAAACCCAAAGCTTCCTGAGAGGCATGAGAAATATCCTGATAGAGCTCGAAAATCCTAGCATCATTGTAGGCATGTGCGTACATCTGGGTAAGAGCACTCCACAACCGAGGAACTGTATCATAACACATAAACATGTTGTAGATGCATTCTTCCATAGAGTTGAACATCCAACCCAGTAAGGTGCAATTGTCAATATCCCATTGAACCCGCTTAGGATCATCAGCGAGAGGTTGTATCTCGGTTTCCAGAAGCCATCCAGATTTGCCTCTAGCCCCAAGGTAGAGACGTGTAGACCGACTCCAAGCCGCAAAGTTGCGAACAGTAAGCAACACACTGGTAATCCGATGAACCGGAACATGGGAGGCCAAGGAAACATCTGAACAAGGCATAATGCACTGAGTTTGTGTAACAAAGTCAGACATTCTAAAACACCACAAAGCCAAAGTAGTGGAGTCACACAAAAGAGATGCTACCGAACACATCGGTAGCTCAACACAACAAAAAATCAAACTATAAAGTGCTTACCACATCAGCACATGAACCCTAGAAGGGTAAAAATAGAAGAACAACACCCAAGAGGGGAAGCCGCACTAGACCCAAGGCAGGGAGGGTCTAGTCGGCACCTAAGGAAGTTGTGGCAGTGAGGATAAGGGACTGCCGAGGGGCTGAGAAGAAAGAGGAAAACTTTCGACTGGGTGGAGGAAAGAAGAAGGGCTGTCGGGTGGCTGGGTAGGTGGTTTAGGCTGCCGGCAATAGAAGACAAGGGTGGTGGGTGGCTACGGTTTGGCTCTGATACTAGGAAGAGAGTTGTAAAATATTGACTTTCCCTAATTTGGGTGAGACCATGTCTATATATAATCAATATAAGATACATGAAAAAAGGAATTAAATAATTACACAATCAACTCCTATAATTAAATTCCTAAATTAAATATACAATATTTCATATTCCAACAACTAATACTTGTGCTCACAAGAGAAGAATTCTAGACAAGGGATTTGTATCCCATGGGAATTAATTTGGCCAATGTCTTTAACACTATATATATAAACAACAGCAACAACAACAGCAACAACAGCTATCTTTGCTACAATTAAAATAATATCCATTTTCTCAAAATTTATGAAATTGACAATTAAGTTGTTTAGCTATTCATAAAAAAGCAGCTCCCAATGAATTAGCACCATTAGGGGCATTTCAGCCCTGATGAGCCCATACTTCATTTTTCAAATTTGCCATGATCATTAACCAATCATATAAAATTTTTAATCATGTAAAATAAATTATTAAAACTAAATAATAACTATATAAAAACCCAATGATTTAGGCCATTACATAACTTTATGAGACAAGTTGAAGGAGAGGTGTTTGTGATGTTTGGTTACATTTTGGAGGCCCAAAAACTGCATAGAGGCGTATAGTAACTTCCCAATCTAAATAGTGCAACAGTGCAATTAGTTTCTGGTTTCTTCAAAAAAATGCCAACCTTCCATTTGTTGATATACTCTAAATAAAAAGTTTCTTTATTCCTGGGTGATGGGGGAACTACATTAAGAAACAACTATTCATATGACTTATGCAGGAATAATATAAATTTGCATTCAAATTTCAACGTCAGTAGCCCGATCACCTGACCTAGTTTGAGCTTAAATTGGAACTGTGAGGTAGTGATGGGCCTGCTATTTGTTTAGGGTTGGTATTGGGCCTATTGGCTGGCCTTCAACTTGACTCAACTGATTCAAGTCGCAGCTCAATAACCCTTATCAATAAACACAACTTCATATTATTGTTCAATATACAATTTTGTGGGAAACATATAAATCTGCGTCTTCTTCCTTATAATCAGCGGTGTTCAGATGGCATAAATAGTTGAATCACCTCACTCATGTTTCCATGGTTCCACTCTGTAATGTATTAAATGCAATATGCAATATGCAATATACATTATCAAATGCCACAATTCCAAGGTATGGATTAATTGTTCTAGATTTGCCTGCAGCTCATAAAATCTTAACGAGTCAAATCACATTATGACATGATTGACAAGTGAACCTTTTTTTCTGAATTATCTGATCCCTAACATCAAGGTTACAAAACTCCAAAAACCTATCACTATGCCAAATGGAGAAGAAATAGAATTGAAGTTTTGCTAGCACCTATTCTCATTTCAGTTATAAATACCCCCATACAGTATTATTTGATATCAAGATACTTATGTCAAAGTCTGTCAATTTTCAACAAAATATCTCTTGTACAAGAATCTTTTTATCATTTTG